TTTCACAAATGGTCCACTTGGATTTCTATCAGCAGGATTAACACACAGGCCGCTGACACAGTTGACTCTCCTTAAAAAGCCAGTAAAACACAATTTGCATAATTATTAATAGCTGAACTACTTCTGCTTCTGCTACTTTTTCCCTATAAACATCGACTATTGGCAATGGCGCTGGTTGCAAGCAAGAACCAGTTCTTAGCCAGAAATATGGCTTTTCAAAGATGACTAGGATTAGAACGATGATGATCTGAGATCATTTTTATTTAATGACTAAATATGATTGCTTCCTCAGTTTCTCTATGGCAGCCATGTTTAAAATGTCTAATTTTATTGGTGCTATCTTTGGGATCAATTTTATTTGTTGAATACTCAAACAGGTTGTTTTTTTTCAGCATGGACAATAATAAAATCATGAAGTTATTAACAATAATGATTGTCTAAATTGTTTTTTGGTAAAAAAAAAAGATTATGAATATGGGTAATGATTGAAACCTTTTCGTAATAAAATTTTATATTTGGGAAAGATCAATCACAAGAGTTTTTTTTTTTAACGTGCTATTTGAAATCATGTAAGATTAATAATATCAATGTTATTCTGACTTTATGGGTCATGTTTAGTGAAGATCTTACACACATGGAAAGTGGATGGAGTCAGCTTTAACAGAAATCTTTCTGAATGGGGAAATCCACCGAGATTGAGAATCAAGCCTACTTGATCATTATATTGTGACAAAACCTCATTGCATTAGCAATAATAAAAATTACTGCATTTTCTACCATCAGAAATTGTCCGACAAAAGCTTGTACCATATTTCCTGTACTTTTTTTCTGGTTCAAACTAATTAATATCTAACAGAATTTAAATCACTGACCAAATGCTGTAATTTTTAAAAAAAAAAATAAAATAAAATTATTTTAATAGTTTTTAAATCACATTTTAGTCTGCTTCACTGTTATCTACGTTGCAGTTAAACAACATGACAGTTTCCTCAATGTTGTCATATTAGATGACTTCATTGAATCTATAAGCAGAGTTGACAATGTGATACTACGGACACCTATGTAGAAAGGGAAGAGGTTTTATCTAGATCTCAAGTGTTTCTGTTTGATGTCCAGCAGATGGTGGCTTTTGAAGTTGAATCTTCTAAGATGCATACACTTTGACCTAAGGGGGACAAGAAGTAAAGGAGAGGATGATGGGTTTTTGGAGATCAAGTGGCAACAAAACCAGAAATAGAGTATATCCAGGTCCTGGTCTATATTAATAATCCTGCTTGGGATCAAGGGAGAGTTCTTGTCCATCCATGGCAGGAGATGGGCATCCGTCATATGGTTCCTGTGCTGTCCATTTGTATCACCAGCCACCATGTCAGAATTAATAGATGGGCAAGGCGTTAACAGGAGGAAGAGCTGGTCTTTTAGACCAACATAGTTGTCATCTCAAGTATCACCTACCTAACCATCCAAACAAGCAGGTAAAACCTTAAATAAAAAACCTTTACGCTATTTATATTTGAACTGATGTCTATGTATTTGTTATTATCACATTGTTTTGGCTGTTGTGCCCTCCAATCCTCCTGAGGTGTATATTGATCTGGGTAGCCTACATGGAATTCTGAACTGCATGCTTTATTTAATCTACAGGGGTAAACTCTTTTCGTTCCAATGCCCATGTCTGGGCATGAGGACAATAGTCCAAATATAAATAGTGTAAGGACTTTTTCAGGTGTATATTGTCATATCCTCTGACCTTCCTCAGGTGTACATTGATCTAGGTAACCTACAGGGAATTCTGAACTGAAGACTTTATTTAATCTATGGGGGGAGACTATTCTCGTTCCAATGCCTATGACAAGGTATGAGGGCAATAGTCCAAATATAAATAGTGTAAGGACTTCTTCAGGTGTATATTGTTATATCCTCCGGCCTTCCTCAGGTGTATATTGATCTGGGTAACCTACAGGGAATTCTGAACTGAATCCTTCATTTAATCTATGGGGGTAGACTGTTCTCATTCCACTACTCATGACTAGGAATATCGTTTAGTTTTCACTTTTATTTAGTACTGTTCAGTTATCGTTCACCTGTTTCTATTGAGTGCAAGTACACACTGCCTGACGAGAATGTTAGATTTATATCATAGAAATTTTTTTTTTTAAATCGGTCAAGTTGTTTTCAGTTTTGTAAGCCCAAGTTAAGGTGTGTGTTTGTAGGGGGTATATTGTACATAATAACGAATATTTGAAGATAATATTGTGAAAGATACATGCAAAATAGACTAGATAATTTTCTTTCTAGAAAAATGTTAATGCTTCCATTGAAAAGGAGATATTTCTGCCTTTAATTCTTTAGCATTCAACATGCTTAAACCAGTCCTTGTAAATATCGGCTCTCAAAGTTTCACTTATTTTTGTTTCTGTGACTTCCTGTATTATTTGTGATGTTGTCGTATATCAGTGGTTCCCAATTTTTTTTTTTTTTTTTTTCTCTGGGCCACATTTTCAGAAAGAAAATCTGCTCATGCCTCACCAAATTTTATGTGATTTTAAAAAGTAAAAAAAAAAAACAAAAAAAACAGATGTTAAAGGGAGATAACTGCAGATTCAAAGTCGGAACATTATCATTGATAACTCTCTCCTCCTCTAATTTGCAGACCCTAGTTACTATATTCTTAATACTTGATATAATGCAAAAATATCACAATGTTAAAAATTGATCAATAATTGATTATAACTATTTATTCTGAGACTTATGCATGTAATTACAAATAATCCGTAATAATATTTTAAATTTTGAAATCCTATTTAATTTTGGCATTTGAATCTTTGATTGTCTTTAAATCATTCTGCCTCACCTGCTATCCTCTTCCACCACACTCATGAGGCATACCGAATCACTGGTGTATATTATGGCAAAGTATACATGAAGTGGGCTATGGTGGATTGAAAATTGAAAGGCAATATTTACAGGGCAGGTTTGAGTTGATTTGATTCGAATGGTAAAGGGTTAAGCCTGTGCAAAACAAAAATAGTGTCATGTTATATTATAGAAATCTACATATCTTATATGGTGTTTAATATGCAAAGGTTTCAAAGTAACACAGTTTGAAGATCATGTTTTTACACTTGGTGACCTTTTGGGGAATGATTTTCTCAAGATTATCACCGCAGAGACAAGGAGCAAAATCTAACAGACAAGTAAATAGCTAGCCATTGTTACTGTTCAATTAGGACTAAAAATACTGTTCCTACCTTTATTGGTGCTGGCCTTAAAGAAAACTATTTTAATCTGACACTTTTGTCCTGTTTTTTTTTTGTTTTTCAACTTTCTACTTTTCTCAATGACTGCTTCATTTAAAACAATCTTTTGTCACCAAGACAAATGGGAGTAAACCATTGTGGGTATTGCAGATTTTAACAATTAAGAGAAAAGCTGAAATCTTTAAGAACTGGAATGCTAAATCTGTTTTTTTTTTTTTTCCTGAAACCAGTTTCTGATAAAGATTTCCTTTTAACTCAAAAGAGGACATTGAAGTTGTTTTTGTTTAGTGGCATATCAGCCTCTATGGGTTATTTAATGCTGAATATTTTGTATGCCTATAATAATGGTTATTTAATGCTGATATTTTGTATGCAATTTTATTTTATTTGGGGATCAGTCTTTTAAACAGGAGTAGAGGCTCATCCCATGTTTCCTGTTTAAGATTAGATTTCTGGTTCCTTCTAAAGTCTACTTCAACTTGTTACTCCTAACATTGCCACCTGAACTCTGAAATTTTATTCGTTAATTAAATCTTGGCTTTTTCAAGTCTAGAATTAGCTATCTTTCCTGTTGCTGTTCCTTTTCTTATACTAATACAACTCCATACAGTATCCCTCTACCTTTAGTGACCCTTGGGCCTTGTATTGGGTGAACATTAATAAAAAAAATAATGGTTTAGTGATACAAGTCTTACTAAATAACCCATAGCTGGGAGAGAAATTGATTCATACCTTTCCCAAGGGTATTTGCGTGTAAGTGAATATAACAGGCCCAACTGGAATTGGAACGCGGCTCTCAGGTTGAGCCATTATCCATTACACCACCCACACATCCAAGCTTACAGTACCTGCTATTCCCAGCTGGTCACCTATCTAGGTACTATCCAGGCTTGATGTTGCTTAACTGGTGATCATATGGGAATTGCTGTTTCGAAATGTGATGCGGCTGTAAGCCAACACGTGAATGATAGGAACTACAAGGAGCAATTTAAGCCACTTGGGGCTGGGGCAAGGGTCATGCCCCACCCACTCTACATCATCTTAATTCTTATAAGGTAGTATTCAAATAAAATACAAATTTCATTGTAATCTAATTATGTACAATAATGGATCATATGCAGTATAGATTAAAAATTCAACTAGAGAAATTGAAAATAAATACAATGTATCTAAATACAAATTAGAGACATACTATTATAGATAATTTGATCTTAAATAAATGAATGTTTTGAGGTAATTTTTAACATATTTTTTTTTTCTTCTTAAAAAGTTTAATAATTTAACACATTCAACATGGATAAAAAATAGTGAATTTTCTATAGTATTTATTTGAGATTTAACACTAGAAAAACAAATTCACAGATTTGGACAAAAGAGGAAAAAAAGCCTTCAGAATGACATCAAAAACAATTAAAAATATTTATCCTTAACAGTAGGTCGTGCTTAGTTTAATTTGTAACATATATAAATGTAGGTAGAGAAAAAGAAATGTTGATAAGATAGCAACAGTCACAAAGCACTCCCCGGGACCTCCGATCTGTCCCCACCCCACTTTCCATATTATGCGAGATATATAATGATCTCTGGAGAATTATTTACAAAGATATGTATGGCAAAAGACCATAGTAATGGAGCATTCAATGAAAATTAGTCTGCTTTTTGGTAGATGCCTTCCTCACATGTAACAGTTTATTTAATCACTTACTGATTTCTTTTTTTTTCTTTGTGATATATTCTCAGTTTTTCTTTTTCTTTGAATATGCTCCTTAATAACAATTCAATTTACTTTTTTTTCTTTTATAGGTAAGTCTGGAACTTGTCCCAGTAAAGTTTGCAAAACAATAACTTCATAAAATTCTTTTAAAAAAAAGTAAGTAATTTTTCTGTATTTCAACTATTCATCGTCTCTGTAAAATAATTTTTTTTTTTTCTTTTTTTTTAAAATATGTGTCAAATAGAAAATGCTTTGGTTACCATAAGAAATTATTAATATTTTTATAGTGGAGACATTTATCTCCCTTTGATCTCACTTTATTAATTACTAGCAGTATAACCTGTCTTCAACCAAATGTTTCATTACTGGGAAGTTTTGCTGTTCAGTTGGAGCAGTTTAAGTTTAAAGTCAGCCCACCTGAAAATCAATGTTAGTAACAACAATTGGGTGCAACTGAGGCACATCACCAAATCGGGGGTTAAAAATTTGAAAGGGGGCGGTGGCCTTAAAAAGGGCCGTTCTTGTGTTCACAATCTTGCAAGGAAAGAACCTCTTCCATGGACCATCATGATAATAATATACAATAATTTTTATTTATAATCTTTTTTTTTTATAATTCTAATAATCTTTTGCATTAGATTTCAACTCTCTAAACTGATTGACATTTTACAGACATTAAATTTTGCCTTTGATTTTTGTGCAAAGTTTTAAAAAAATCTGTTTTTTTTTTTTTTGTTTGGTTTTTTTTTTTTGTTTTTGTTTTTTTTTTTTTTTTTTTTTTTTTTTTTTGTTTTTTGTTTTTTTTTTTTTTTTTTTTTTTTTGGTTTTTTTTGTTGTTTTTTTTTTCACCTTCAAGGTTGTAATTTTTTTCCATCCAATTTGGACTCAAGACTGGCACTGAAGAATTATCTATCAAACAAAAAAAATTCATTTAAATCTGATGAAAACTGTAGAAACACATGAACATCCGATCACATACATACATGCATGCATACATACATACACACACACATTTTGATAATTATAGATTATTATTAAGCTTTCTATAATATAGACAATTATCTCCCTTTGATCTCACTTTATTAATTATTCAGTATCTGAAGACATTTCTGTCTGAATTTTGGGGATTCAGATTTATCAGTATTTACATTTACTTTTGGACTAATTTCCTCATTTTTGTAATTATCAAAACATTTTGTTCATTCTGCCCACTAACCTCCTTCAGATGCCTGTTGATCCAGGGAATTTCAAACCTTTTATTAACTCTATCGGGGTAGAGATTTTCTTGCTCTGATTCCATGTCTAGTCTCTCTTTTTTTTTTCTTTTTTTTTTTTAGTCTTGCTCAGTTATTGCTCACTCTGTTTCCACTGAGTCTGTATTACTAACCCATTGCAGTTGAAATCCAATAGGTTAGACCTCGCCTACAGGCCGTCTGATTTGTGATCATGAGACCAGGGGGGAGTGTAGCAAAAAAATGTTGGCTTACCTCGTCAAAACCAAGTGAGAGTGTGTCACGTGTATCTTACATCAAAAAAGAAAGAAAGTGCACATGTGACTCTTGTTTATATATGAGAATGTCATGCCAATTTTTGGTCGTGCTTTAACCAATCACTGACTTCTTGACCTAGATATAAACAGATTCTGCATGTGACCGACAAATTGGCTCTGAGTCATTACCAGGCATGAAGGAGAATTTCTTGAGACAAGCAGCTGCTGCATTGAACTTTATTCCCTCATAAAATAAAGGGTTCAGTTTGAAATTACATATCAGCAAACACCTGAAGAAGGCTACAGGATTCAACAGTTGAAACTGTATGAAGTCATGTTACATATCACTTAATTCACAATGGTTCAAGCTTGAAAAAGGATTAGAATATATACCTAAATCTCACAGTTGGCTGATATTAAGTTTTAAATGTTGAATAAAAACACTTTCATTTATCTGTGTTTTTTATGTTAGAGATTTATCATCTGAATTATCTATACTCTTTGTATTTCTTTTATGTCCCTTTAGTTTATGGCTGATCATGACTCTCCACAACTTCCTGTCTTTTGTTGCTCAAAGTAACTTTTGAACCATCCCTCTTTATTGCTGTTCTGTCATCTATTCAGACACCTTCGATAGAATACTTAACTGACTCGGGGTGGGGGGTGCATATTTTCTTTCTTGGGGGATTTTTCATCTCTCTTTCTCTCTCTCTCCACTTCTTTTCTGGGGGCCTTTTTATTTCTTCTAACTTGTCCTTTTCCTACTTTATACAATTGGCATTATGATTCTCTAACTTCCCACCCTCTCTCTCATCCATTGCCACCCTTTATTCCTTCCACCCTGCTACAATTTGTTGTTTCTACCCAACTTTTATGTTGAACCCTCCCTAGCCTTATTAATTTAAAATTTAAACCTCTTCTCACCTATATCTCATTTTATTCATTATAGAATTTCCGATGGTTTAACACATGAGCATTTTTATTAGACTGCATTCGTTTTCCTTTCAATGCCTTTTTTCTTATTGCTACTTTATTAAGAAAATGCATGAACTGCAAATTTGTATCTGCCTCTCGCATTCTCTTCACAATTCATTAAATAAAAAACATTACAACAAAAATAGTTGATCAGTTACAGTGCCAAGTTTTCTTGATTGCTTATAGTCATAGAGTTTACAGTTAAAAAAAAAAAAAGTAATTGATTCTATGATGATGTCATCTTTTCAAATACCTGATAGTTGTTAGTTTCTTCATTATATTTACGAAAACACATTTAATTTGTTGTTTTTTTTTTTGTTGGTTTTTTTATTAAACAGTTTTGTTGTCTTCTGTTACTATTAATACACCTTTGTGTAAATTAATTAAAACAACCACTTTAGTTTCCTTTCTTTCACCATACAGTCAGTTTTAGACCCACTGGAGTGACAGGGTGAAATCGATACCTATTTTTTCCTTAGATTAGGTCATTTGCTGTGGTGTGCAGTAATATGAATCTATTTTCAGAGTCTATGATGAAATTTTTTTGGTCATGAAAAATATTGCATCATTCGTGATTGCATCAGATTTTCATCACACCCAGATACTATTGTCTCAACTGTTATTTAGTTGTCCTACAGCCATTGTCTGCGATGGACATTACTCCAAGGAAGCATACGAAAATTGTAACGCTGCACGAACATACTGGCAAGCCTTACTAGTGAGCAAATTAAAGTACTATAGACTGGACCGGAAATTCTCCTGATTTAAATCCAATTGAGAATCTGTGGTTAATCTATAAAGAACAACTTTGTGGAATGGACATATGAAGTACTAATGTGCACTGGGCCATGTTTCATTGGAAAAATATGAAAAAAATAATAATAGAATTATTCGTTTTGTTTCAATTAATTTGCACAAGGGTATACAATTGTTTTGTTGTTAAAGAAAACCATATTGTCAATTTTAAAAAAGTTACAAGCAAAAAACTTTTTTTTTTCTTTTTTTTTTTTTTTTTAAAAAAATGTTGTAATCGCTGGTTTTCACAAAAATATAAGCAAGTTTAGTTTTGTAAACTGAACAATTGGCAAACCGTAAGTGTTTTTAACTTCTTTGCATAATAGTGAAAATCAGGTGGTTTTCTCCTCTCTCTGCAGACTCCCTCTCTCCTGTATGTGGTTGTCCCTCTCTCTCTCTCTTTCTCTGCAGGCTCCCTCACTCCTGTACGTGGTTGGCCCTCTCTCTCTCTGCAGACTCCCTCACTCCTGTACGTGGTTGTCCCTCTCTCTCCCTGCAGACTCCCTCTCTCTTGTATGTGGTTGTCCCTCTCTCTCTCTGCAGACTCCCTCACTCCTGTACGTGGTTGTCCCTCTCTCTCCCTGCAGACTCCCTCTCTCCTGTATGTGGTTGTCCATATCTCTCTCTCTCTGCAGACCCCTGTGTACCCCTCTCTCCCTGCAGACTCCCTCTCTCCTGTATGTGGTTGTCCATATCTCTCTCTCTCTGCAGCTCGTAATTCCCATCAGTTGTTTTTTTTTTTCTCTCCTCTTTCTTCCTCAGGTGTCCCATTCTCTTGAGATGTAAGAGAGGAAGACAGAAAAGTTTAAAATGTCTCTTTTGATTTGTGTTGCTTCACTGATATTTTCTGTTTGATAAACAACAGATGAGAATGAAATGAAAACTATACCTCCCCAACAAATTATCATATTATAATTAAGCTTGTTCCTTAGATAGCTTACCTGTCCTCTGCCCACAAATTTAACTTGACTGGTCCTTGCCCACAAATTCTCTAACCATTTTTTCATCATCTGGCAAACCTCATTCTGGGATCTGTTGAAGCAGTATATATGTATTTCTCGAAAGAAAGAAAAGGAATGTAGAGAAAGTGATAATGCCCTCATGCATTTAATGTCTACTTCAGTGAAACAGTATATTAATATGAAATATGCCAATGTGAAATAATTAGTTTCAGTAATAAAAATTAACAAAAACAGTGTAATTTCAACAGGTTCCACTCTACGTGATTAAAGGAAATAGATATCATAAAAACATATTTGAAAAATTATAACTCTATATACTGTATATGACTGTATGGGGATTTACTATAAGCTTAGAATTTATCTGACTTAAAATGTAATGACAATATGTTAGATATCAACTTGTCTACCATAAAATTTCTGTGGACCCCACAAGTAAATAAAGACATATGTCTCTGATCATAATTCCTCTCCTCTTCCCCAAATGCCCAAATAATCGTCTGTTGGTGTGCCTTAGACATTCATATTGAACAGATAATGGTGAAAATAAAACCACTTCTTAGACTTTATTCTGTTCAAAGTGAAAGAATTTATTAAGTTTAATTATTAGCAATTCTCTTCCCTGAAACTTTTTTTTTTTCTTTTTTATTTTTTTTCTCTTTTTTTATTTTTTTTCTCCTTTTTTTTATTTTTTTTTCTCTTTTTTTATTGTCATTTTGTCTTTATTTTTTATTGTCATTTTGTCTTTATTTTTTATTTTTATTTTTTTGTCTTTCTCTCTTTTGTCTTTTCTTTTTTTCTCGCTTTTTCTTGCTTTTTCTTTTTTCTCTCTTTTCTCTTGTCTCCTTTTTTCTCTTTTTTACTCTCCTTTTTTCTCTTTTTTTTCTTTTTCTTTTTTTCTCCTTTTTTCTCTTTTTTACTCTCCTTTTTTCTCTTTTTTACTCTCCTTTTTCTCTTTTTACTCTCCTTTTTTTTTTTTTACTTTTTCTTTTTTTCTTTTTTTTTCTTTTTTTACTCTCCTTTTCTTTTTTACCTCCTTTTTCTCTTTTTTACTCTCCTTTTTTCTCTTTTTTACTCTCCTTTTTTCTCTTTTTTACTCTCCTTTTTTCTCTTTTTTACTCTCCTTTTTTCTCTTTTTTACTCTCCTTTTTTCTCTTTTTTACTCTCCTTTTTTCTCTTCTTTATCCTCTTAAATTAGGAAAAAATATCTTTCTATGGATGAATACTTTTGAATCAACAAAGACATTTTTATTGTCTTGTAATTCCTTTCTGTCACATGCGTAGTCACATCAACATAAACATCACTTTGGTCTGAAGTCTTAAAGGATGAAATGCATCACATGAAAACTATTCTCTCGATATATAAAAATTTATATTGTTTTCCCATGTATTTATTTATATCTACATATATTTATAAATATGATAAAAATATAGTTCTAAAGTTTGCTATATTTATGAGTAGGGGTGCTCAATATCCATGATAGAGCACATGTAGATATAATAGTAGACACTGAGTTAAATAAGTGGCAACAGTTATGCTTCAATGCAATTTTCAGGCCTTGTGTGTTGTGTTTTTGGGCACAACTATTTATGTATGCTGGTCAGTAGTGCATTATGGGTAGTAAAGTCTATTGTATTATCCTAATGATTATTGGGGAGGCAGTAACGATTATGTCTCAAATTATTCTAGAGACTATTGAATTGGAATAATTGTTGATCCAAATGCAAATTTATAGTGTTAACTTTTTTACTTGTTATTTATTATTGAGGATTTAATCATTTGTTTATTATGATTATTATTATTATTATTATATGTATTTATGTATATATTTATCATTTGTTTATTATTTACTTAATTTGTTTATTTATTTAGATTTTTTGTTTATTTTTTCTTGGGGGTTGGTTATCTTATTTGTTTAGTTTAAGGTACTGGCTTTGTCTGAAGCAATGCTTCTTAAACTGTGGGTCACAACCCCAAATGGGGTCACGAAGGGAAATGCTGGGGTCACGAAAATTAAATCCAAATGCTTGAGTTTCAGTTCATATATTATTTCACAAATGTACAATATTTAATGTGATGCCCATGTAATGTGCATTCAGCATGGTTGTGACTAGTGCAGTGACAATGGATGTATTTTCAGTGTAATTGGTTAATACCTGGGGTTGTGAAAAATCTTGTGATGAAAAAGTTTAAGAAGTGCTGGTCTAAAGTACATTATGTTGTCTGCGTTATATATAATGTACATATTTGTATTTTACAAGGTATTTCCAATTTTTGACTTTTAAGTAACGTAAAATTTTGTTTTTGTGTCTGCATTTTGGGATAAGAATCATTTATTTACTAATTTGTGTTGGTCTAGGAAGGTTATTTTATCTATATATTTATTTGTACTTAATACATATTTATAGATACTAGATATACTTGTAAAAATTTCAGTTTTCCTATTTGAATTTTCTGATGAATAATAATTCTTAAGTTAATGGTGAGTTCTGTGATAATAAAATATCTGTAGAAATTCCCCTATTGCATTGTTAAATATTTGAGCTTAACAACTTTAAGAAAATATTCCAATAACAATGATAAAAATGAATGCTGGTCATTATTTAAAGAAGTAAGGTGCAAATGAAAAGATTTGAAATTGCCAACTTTTTTCTATTTTCACCAAAACAGCCATTAAACACTTCTTCCTTTCTTTCATTCATTTTCTCACTGAAACCAAGTAGTGTCTCTGATATGTGTTTTGTTTTCTCTCCCCACACACAAAATGGAATAGTCCATTATTTATGAGGTATTGGTAGGAGACGTTAAAGTAGTGTCTTTCCCCTCTTTCAACACAATCAAAACAGAAGAGTCCATTATTTATGAAGCATTGGCTGGGTGTAACAGTCATGTGAACTAATGAAAGGAGGGACAAGCCAATTTATATATATATATATATATATATATATATATATATATATATATATATATAATGAAATTATTTTTATTTCAAATAATGTTTCACTTTTTTAATTAACTATTGCAGAAACTTTTCTCATGTTGCAGATTTTTTTTGTAACTTTGAAAAGTAATTAACAAGTAATTAAAAAAAGGTTAATTTTCTTTAATGAGAGGAAGATGATGCTTAGAGCATAAAAAATTTGAGCTTCTAAATTTTTTTATACTTTAGTTATTAAAAGAAAGTTTCTCTTTCTCTCTTCCTCTATTTCTCTCCGTTACCCCCTCTCTCTGTATTTTTCCTTCCTGTTTCTCTCCTTGCACACCTCTCTCTCTCTCTCTCTCTCTCTCTCATATATTTTGTTTTTTTTCCTTACCATTCCCAGAATTTTGTGTTAAATTGTTCTAATTCCATGTGCCATATCTTATTTGGATATCTACCCCCAGATTGAATAAAGGGTTTGGTTCAAAATTCCAATGTATATCACCTGAAGAAGGCCAGAGCGTATGATGACTGAAATGTCATAAAGATGAGGACAACAGTCTGAACAATGTAAATAGTGTAAATATTCATGCATACTGTTTGGGGGGGCGGGAATAAATACTACCTTTTAGTGTATTCTATCAGTATTTACAGTAGGATAGCATCAATTAATTGATTGATAATTGGTAATTTAATTACCAATCAATAAATATTTTACAAAAAAAAAAAAATGAAAAATTAGAAGAATATAATTTAAGTTCATTCTTTGAAATAACCGATGACTCTTCAGCCCGGAATGAAATGTCTGTGCTGTAATAAGCAAAGATGTCCAATTAATCATCAAATGCTTATATTGCAAATTATTGGCCGATTAATTGCTACAAGCCTAATTGACAGGCCCCTAAAAGTCTCTTTTTGTTCACTCAGTCGGTCAACATAAAACCTGTGGAACGTGTCTGACCCATTTTCAATGCAGCCAAATTGAATAACCAACAAAGAGAAGAGTGAATGTCAGAAGGTAAAACAGCTCAAATTTTGTTATTATCAAGTCCAACATATTTTACTTTTAATAAAATATATTGGAAATATTTATGTAAGTGATTAAAGGTTCTTATTTGAAAATTGGTCTCTTTTCATTTTGTCATGTCTTTGTGCATAGTGATAAATGGCTTCACAGTATTTTATTGTAAATACTCTATAATTTAAGGCACATTCCACATGTAAGGAGTGGCTGTTAAGAGTTCAAGCAAGTTTTCTCTGCATTAAAATCTGAAACCCCTTTTCTGTCCCTCTCACACACACACATGCACATTGGTATGGAAATTGGCCTCCTATTTTATGATGTTGAGACATGGCTTCAGAAGCAAGTGTTGGTGGTAGGCTGTAGAGGATAGACTTTTTTTTCTTTTTTTTTTTTGTTACTAGCATCAGCCCTGACATGAAAGTGTATATGAAGCAAAGGTGTATCATCTATATTCAAATTTCCATTCATCATCACTTGATAAAACATAAGTGTCAAAACAAAATTGCAACTTTTGTAGTGATCTTATAACATGCATATGTTATAAATTTGAATAAATATTATTAGGTCTACTCAGTATTGAGCACTCTTTTAAGAATAGTGTTTTTGGTTATTGGAATTTTATTGCACTTTGGGAGATATATATATATATATATATATATATATATATATATATATATATATATATATATATATATATATATATATATATTTTACAAGTAAAAGGTTAGTCACTTAGCAAATTGATGTTATCTTGAGCATCCAGACCCCAGAGTTTTGTAGATGGATCCTCCATGAATTACTCCATCCACTCATCAGGCAGTATCAGCAATTGACTGCTTATGCTTTTCAATTTTTTCTTTTTCATATACACTTTTCATTAGTGCAAGTTTTTTTTTTTTTTTCGCTGTGTGTGTGTGTGTGTGTGTGTACACGCAGAATGTTGTGGTTATTTGTCCTTTTCGACATAGAGCTCTTCCCGGTCTATATCCTCCTGGAAATTCCATATTGTTTTATTTATTTATTTATTTTTATTTACATACATACATATATATATATATATATATATATATATATATATATATATATATATATATATATATATATATACTAGTAGCATAACCCTACTTCGACTGGGTCTTTTATTACTGGGAATTTTTGCCATTCAATTGGAGCAGTTTATGAATGGGGGGGGTGGCCTCGAAACATGCCATTTTCCGTTCTCAATCTTGTTTCAGCCTCACGTGCAGCAGCAGTTGAAGAGGCATTTCTCCTTAGCCTTTGAGTCCTTTGATCATCATTATCAGCCTCGCGCACAGAAGCATTCGGGTGAAAACTGTGGAAATACATAAACAACATCCAATCACACACACACACACACACATTTTGAGAATTATATATATATATATATATATAAAATGTGAAAGAGAGAGAAAATCATGAAACTATTCAGAAACCATTGGGATGGAGGCTGTGTGTGTACTAGCCTTGTTCATGTGCTAATTATGCCAGATTGTGTACTTTGGTTGGTCAACATAGTTGCAATATACACCGCAAGTTGATTCTAGGTGTTGAAGAAACTTAAAAATGTGCTTGAGCAGTGTCTGCAACAGGAATTAGCTAGTTATTTTACTCTATCAAACTTGGAAATGAATAGCCAGCCATTTTATATATACAGCTATACCTCACCCTCTGTCGTTAATTAGTTCCATAGGTCATGACTTAGGTCGAAAAACAACTTAAGTCAAAGTAACCACACTATAAACCACAAATAAGCACTCCCCATTGCATATTACAGCATTTATATGTACATGCAGTATTCTGAATAAAATAATTTATCAGCGATATAGCCTTACGCTTAGCATTAGCAATTAAAGAACAGTCTGGCAATTTTTTCCAATTTGGTTAATGTCAAAAACCTGTTCTGGAAGAAACCTGTTTTTTTCGATGATCTTAGCCAATGCATTAGGAAAATCAGCTGCTGTTTGTTTGTCAGCTGATGCACTTTCACCTTGCTTCTTAATAGAGTGATAACACTTCATAGACAACAACACGGTCACATATGTTTTCATATTTCATTCTCTAGGATTTATGATGATTATATTAACATTTACTGTAAATGTAGGCATTTTAATATGATTTTGTATACTTTTATTCTTATTTATTGTACAGTTACATGATTTTATGTGTTTTTAATGCCTTTCTAGTGATATTACGATTTCAATATTTGTGGTGGACAGAGGTAAAGTTGAATAAAATGACTTCACCTTGATTTTTATTTTTCCATATATTTTTTTTGACAAATGACGTATAATCGAGAACGACTTAACTTGAAATGACATAACCCGAGGTATACCTGTATAAACTATGAATAAAGATGAGGAAAAGTTATCTTTACAAATTCATTTCATCCTCTGATGGACTTCATCAAGGTAAAGTCCTTAATACAGTGTTAAAGATAAGTGTTCCTTGATTGGGAGTGTTAATAAAACAGCGCTCAATGTATAATCATTGTGAGTGAAGTTCAGTAAACTGAATTGTTCATCGATGCTTGTGTGAGCAGAAAGTAACAAGTCATTGTGACAGAAAGGTTGAGTGTACTAGTCATGTTGAAGCTGTTGATCATACCAAATTATAATTTCTCTCTCCTAGAAATTGTAACTAAGGTCTGCTCAGCATAGTTGCAGTATAAACTACAAATGGGTTCTGTGCATGTTGAACAAACACAAATGTGCCTGAGCAAGTGTCTGCAACAGGGATTGGTTAGCCACCCTAGCAGGTAGGTACGCCTGGATAAGAGCAGCCAGCCATTATATAAAAGAAAAATCTCCCAAGTTTTTTGTGTTTAAGTATCCAGTTTTTAGGTAATAAGAGATTGATCATTCACATTATTTCTGTTTTTTTTTTTTTTATTCTGGTCCTAAATTGTCTGTACAGACAGACTGATGTTGCTTTAAAGAAATAGAACCAAAAGAAAAAAAAATCTTTGTTCACATTAAAAGTTATTTTAAGTCTTTGGGGAAATATCAAAAAAATTATCTCATAAGTATTTGTACATTTTTTTCACTAGTGTCTTCATTCATAGCCTCCTCATCTGCTGCCACTTTTTCCTTTTCCTTTTTTTTTTTTTTTTTTTTTTTTTTTTTTTTTTTTTAAAGCTCCAATCCAAACTTAAATGTCCACAACATGTGTTTTGTGACACCACAGTGAAACAATAATCTACTTGTGTTTACATTAAACAACGGTATTAATGTCACTAAAGTTGAACTCTACTGGCTCAGTTTTAAAAAAAAATTTGAAGTTACAGATTTGTTTGTATCTCCGAAAGTTGAATGTTTGTATGCACAGGAGTGTATTTAAAAAAATCAAGTCACATACAGATCAATCTTATGAACACATCTGTGTGTGACTCTTTTTTTTAAACTTAAGAAAATGAATTATCTTACAGTAAGATAATTAATTCATTTTTTTTAAAAGTTTTTATTTTTAGTTATTTTTATTTTTTAAACTCATTAAAAAATTATTCCTTCTATTAAAGAATAGATTTGTCAGTTGTTTATTTTTGTTATGTAATTGTTTTTTCTGCAATTGTTTATTTTTAATTTTGCTTTTATTTTCTTATTTTTTTTACCACTAATTATTTACTGTTGCCTTTTGTGGATGGCTTATCTTTTTGTTTTAAGATACGGATTTCCTGCAAGATGAACAATTTGTGTATGACTGCATTGGACCCTTAAAAATGAAAATGTCATTTAGAAAATAATTAGGTTTCAGAAATGTTAATATTTTCTGGTATAATTTTAATTAATAGCTTCATTGCATTTTCCTGGAATTAGTATGCTTCAAGTATTTAACAAAATTGTTGTTATTTAGTTTTTATCACTAAATCATGAATTCAGGTCAGGTTTTTTAATTTTGATTAAACAAAATTAAAATTTAGATTTTGGTGAGTTTCAGGTTTATTAATAAAAGCAAAACTACATTTTAAAAACCAATTTTTTGTTACATAAATTGAGAAAATAATTTAAAGCTAAATAAAATTTTTCGTAAGCTCATTTCTAGAATTTTATTTTTAAGTGATAATTTTTGATAGCCTATGCAACGAAGAGAAAAACAAAAAATGTCTTAATTTCAAAGTAAGGAAAACATTCAGATTATGATTGTTATCCTGTATATCTTTGACTTTTAACCTTTAAAAATGGAGTCTTTTTTCTTAGTAGTGAAAATGTAGCTTGTTTTTCATTTTTATGTTAAATAACCTTTTTTCTCTCTACTAAAAGAGGAAAAAAATTCAAGCTTTTAAAAAGTTTTGTTTTTTAAGCTCATTTTGTCAGCTGTATCATCAGAAAGATGAGAGTGAAGTCTCGTGTGTTTAACTTTGTAAAACGATCATTAACCCTAGAGAAAAAAAGAAGTAAAAAAAATAAACAGTAATTGATCTTCAGAGGATGAAAAGAATGCTTGATTCTTTAGCAGCATGACAATCTCATTATCTGTCCTTCTTAAAGGAATAAGCAGTGAAGTAATTGGAGAAAGTTGTCTCCCTTGAAATTAACTGTTAGTGTTAAACCTTTTATGAGTCACAGGAAAATTCCATTAACGGATGTAAGGTTTATTAACTACTGTAATTGTTGCATTCATTTGATGGAACAATGTAAATATTGAAATGTTTGAAATAATTAAACACTTTTGGCCTAACATGTGATATTCATTTAAAAGTTAAAATTCTGCTAAATATAAGTCAAAAGAGAAAGTACAAATCAGGTTTCTGACAACATTTATGGTGGTTAGATGTGTCCTACAATATAAGGCACCTTTTACCCCACGCCCCAAAACTTCCAAACAAAAATTGTTGTTTTTTTTTTTTTTTTTTTTTTTTTTTTTTTTTTTTAAAGCATTATGCCCCGAGCAAGGTGTGAAGCCACTAGGTTGCAAGGGGTTGCAGAAGATTTGGAGCGAGAGCAGATAGGAGTGATAGAGGAGAGGGATAGTGGATAGATCAAGGTAACTGGAGATGTCGATTGACATTACATTTGAATAGCTGGAGATTATAGCTCTCAGGGAAATAGTAATAGGGAAGGGTGTTCCACAGGCGAGATGTGCGAGGTATGAAGCTATTGGAGTAGAAGAGATAGCTACATTTAGTAGTTTCTACAGTGAAAGGGTGAGAGCGGGATGCCAGCCTCGTAGGGTGCTTGAATTCATGAAGTCTGGGAACCAGTGAAAGCAGCTCATCGGAGCAATTACCATGAAAGTATTTGTAAAAAAGACAAAGGCGACTGTGCGTCTGTGAGAGAGCAACTGCAGACGAGATGCCAGATCAGGGCCAATTATATTACATATCCGCCTCTGTTGTGTAAGGGTTATGCTCAAATCATGCCGAGAACACTGGTTCTCATTTGATCCCCAAAGTTAAGCAGCATCAAGCCCAGTCAGTACTTAGATGGTGGCCTGCTTGGAAACATCCAGTACTGTAAGCAACTTCCTACAATCCAGAATATATTTTGGCTTTAAATAACCCCCCCAAAGAACTAAGTCATAAAAATCATCAATCAGTGAGTAGAGGTTATCAGTATTAGACTATTATGAAAAAAAAACTATTTAACTTCTTTTTTTTCTTTTTTTTAATGCCATTTCCCTTCAGGATGTAGACGATCATGGCCCTCCACAATTTTTTTTTCTTTATTATCTGTGAATTGCCAATGACTTGTACTGCTCCAGTAAGTGTCTGATTCCACCTGCTATACTCTTCACAAGAGCCAGACCAAACCAAAAATAGTGTTGCTGCCCTGTCTTCACTTGCCTGTCTTACCTCTTAATTTCTGTAGTTCCCAAGTCCATCTTGACCTGAGGTAGTAGCTAGGGTCCTAATTAAGCAATTATAATTTATCATGAAATAATGTTATTCTCTTGAATGATTATAAAGTTTGAATTTTCATATGTAGATTTTGACATTAAATAACCCATACAAGCTGATATGCTGCTTAACAACCAAACTTGCTTGTTTTGACAGTTCAAAAGTGTCTACACAGCCTTGTGGGTGATGAATTATTTTCTACCCTACAGATAAAATGTAGCAAGCTTTTCATTGTTCTATCGCTATTTAGATGGCATGTGTTCCTTAGTCACACCTCCCATGACTTTTACAACTGGGACCCTCTATGCCACATACACAAGGATGAATCATCCTCATTTCCTTTGTACAGAATTAGTAAGAAGTAAGTTCCACCCAAACAACTTCTCCCCAAAAACTGCTGTTTTGTGGAACAGACTCCCAGCAAGATATTTTCGTTAATCACTACAATTTTGACCTTTTTAGGGTTAACTTACCTTTCCTGCATAACCTCATGAATTTCACTTCTTGACTTTTTTTTTATGCTCATACAACACCACACCATAACCTTCTATCTTGTGTGGCTTTCAGGCCTTTTATTGGGTGAACATTAATATAAAAAATTTGTTCTTGCTTGCTGATCCCACTTTCAGTACTGCCATGCTATGTGCACATCCATTGTTTAACACTAGTTCTATGACAAATTCAGATTGAAATATATACGATTAGATTTTGGTTACAATCCAGAATAATAATAGAATAATGGTTTTTAAAAAATAACTATTATAAACAAGTGATATAATGACAATTTAAGGTTTTTTTTCCTAAACCTTTCTTGCCAAATTGTACATCTATGACATACAGTATTAATTATAGTATCGGTATATACTTAGTACATTTGTTATAATGCAAGCAAAGAGTGTGTTGAGAATTGGGGAAACGCCTAACTGATTGCTCTCCCACCAACAACGGGGGCGAATAGGCAGAGAGGGAAAAGAAATGGGTGGTAGCAAAAATGACACTGCCTTGGAAACCACAGCAACTTTAGGAACAAAGTGCCCACAGGATTGACTTCACAAGACACCATGTCTTGCTAACTGTTCATTGCTAGTTTTTCTGTTGCTTTTATTAGCATGTGACATCTTACAAAGGTCTCAGTTGCAGAGAGGCTCATATCTAGGCATGCCAAGCTGTCCTACCACTAATGGAAAAACCTGGATGCAATTGGTGAGGACAAACATCTTCACACATAATCCGGGGCCTCTTTTACATCTCTACTATTGCGCATTTGCCACAACATTTTTACCTGTAACACTACACATTCCATTTAAATTTACTCTTGAAAAAAAAATTATGATTTAAATATTTGGAAAACAAAGGACCAAAGATTCTGCTTTAAATATTTATTTTCATAAAAATTGTATTCACTAAATTTGAACTTAGAGTTGGGCTTATGGCTACTTTATGTTGAAACAGCAGTTCCTGTAGGTTCATTAGAGTTAAGCAATATTGAGTATGCTTTGTACCTATGTGGGTGACTGTTTGGTAATACCAGGTGCTGTGTGACACTGAGTCGTCAGCTCATGGTCAATTCCAAGTCATGGCGCGAAACTGTGATATTTCTCCTACCAGTGCTTTGGCATTTTTATTGGCTGGTTCTGGGCGCTCATCAGCTGAGTGTTGGCTGGGTCAGGTGCATAAAAACAGGGCATGCCCATTTAATAGGTGTTGAGCTTGTTGTTTGGGATGGTGAGTGGTATATTGGAGATCGAGACGAGACGTGTGGATTTGTTTTGCCAAGTGATCCTATTGGACTTGTCCTACCTTTCTTTACCTGTGTGTGCTTCCAACCGATTTTTGCAAGAGATATTTCTAACCATAATATGGACTACACTTTGGTCAGAACTGATTTGAAACTGTTCAAGCTGATCTGTTGGATAATGATGAGTTATTTGTATGAACATTTTTTAGTCTTATCACAATGTTTTGGCTGTTGTAGCCTCCAGTCTTCACTAGGTGTTTTTCAATCCTCCTAACCTACAGAAAATTTTGAACTGAACCCTTTATTTAATCTCATTTCATTGCCCATGTCAAAAGATATAGAACTAGAAAATATAGCCTTAGATATGAACAGTGAGACAAGAACAATCTATCCCCCATCATCATCAACCTTCAACCTTCTATGATTGGTTGGAACTCCATTGACAATCCCTTTCCACACTGTCCAGTATTGTATTGCTGTCCCCAGATCCAGAAGGATGCCATAGGACTAAGGATGAGACAATTTCCCTGTCTGCTCTATACCAATAGATTATCAAGTACAATTCTGTAGACTCTTAATTGCCAAAATAAATAACACCTATGGCCTAAAATTTAAGTAGAATAAAGTTTTTCATTTGAACAACTATATATAAGCATTGACAGCTCTTCAAAGGAGATTTGTTCTGTTATAAAGACACTTCTAAAATATCCAAGGAAAGGGTGTCAAGAAGTGGTTAGGTCTCGGGGTTCAGCAGGTTAAATAACTTATTCACTTTAAAATTACCTGAAGGCACCTGATGAAAGTTGGAAAGCACAATTGCCAACAACAAAGATGAGGACAATAGTCTGCATATAAATAATGACCTGTTGGAATGTTTTAATTAATTTTACAGACTTCTTTGTGATAAGAAATGATAAATATGTAAAGATTGGAATAAAGAATTTCTCTATATTATTTACATTGTTTGGTCTCTTGTCATCATCTTTGTCATGTTCATGATGTTTCAGCTGTTGCACACTCTGGCCTTTTTCAGGTGACTGGAATTTTGAACTGACTTTTTGAATCATGAACATGACAAAGGTGAAGGCAACAGTCTGAGCAATGTAAATAATGTAAATGAATACCTCATCTCAGAAATATAGATAGATATTGAAACAATTTCTCTTTTAATATTTCAGCAATGTTTAACTTTTGTGTCTGCAAAAAAGAATTCTGGTGTGTCAAAAAGATGGTTATTCTCTTGACACCACTATTACTGTATACACTTTTAACTCCCTCAGCAATGTTTATTGTTTTAAAAAGCAAAAAAAAAAAAAAAATGTTTATATTCAAATTTTTTGGCTTTATAGTTAATTGATGTTTTTATAAAAAGCTCGAAAGCTTGTTTTCATATCTTTTTTTTGTGTGTGTGTGTGTGTGTGTGTCTGTGTGTGTTTAAGCGTTTCACTCCAAGCAAGGCAGGAATGCCACTAGGATGCACAGGGATACAGTGAAAGTGAGAAAAAAAAAAAAATGACTGTGTATAGGGAGGATTGAGGAAAAAATAAAAGATGAACAGGGATCAAAGCAACAGAAGATGGTGATTTGTGAAGATTGTAGGTAGCAGAGAAGCAAGTAAGAGGAAGGGAGTTTCAATGTTGGGAAGTACGAGGAAGGAAACTGTTGGAGTAGAAGTGGCTGTTGCATTTAGCTATTTCAACAGTAAATGGGTGGGACCAAGATGCCAATCTAGGAACACACTTAAATTCATGTAGTTGGGGCACCAGGGAAAAAAAGCTCATCAGAGCAGTTAACATGAAAATATTTGTAGAAAAGGCAGAGGGAAGCCACATCACGTCTATGAGAAAGTGTCTGAAGTTTAGAAACCATGTCAGGATTGATTACATTGCAGATACATCTTTGGATTTTGTCAAGAATCTTGAAAATGAACAGCAGGGGCACAACACCGGATAAAGCAACAGCATTCAATGCACAGACAAATGGTAGATTTGTAAGATGGACTCTTACGAGAAAAACCTTCTGAACCAACTTTCCTTGCAGTAGATGTAGTTATTGATTCAATGTAGTTGTTTCACATCAGTTATTTATAAAATGGTAAATAATAAATACATGTACGATTAATGTTTTTTTGATTAGTGCACTAAAATTTTCATGTACCAAAATTTGATTAGTGCATACCGATCAGCCATACTATTGAGGCAGGAGTAAATGCTAGCGTCATCAGCATAGATGCCAAGTTGAGAGCTGATGTCATCAGGAGGTTCACTAATGAAGATTAAAAACAGTGTAGGGCCAAGGATGGATCTCTTGGGGGGGGGGGCACCAGCATTAGTACAAAATGATGTAGACAAGTGACCATTCAGGACAACTTTCATTTGACAATTTGATAGAAACAACAGGATCAGCTCAAAAACATGCTCGAAGATACTGTAACTTTTCAACTTGTGGAGAAGACCTGAATACCAGACCCTGTCAAAGGCTTTAGAGATGTTCAATGCTACAACCCGGCCTTCATCGTTTTTATCTAAAGTACGATAGATTGTTTCTGCAATTATCCACATTACATCAGCAGTTGATCTGGAGAAACAAAAGCTGTATTGCTTGTCTGAGAAAAAGCCCTGTGATGAGATATGATGAACCAATTCAGCATAGATTAGGGCCTCTAGGAGTTTTCCAAAAAGAGGTAGACGGATAATAAAAGGTATTTAAAAAATGAATATACAAGTATACTTCACCCTACATTGTTAATTGGTTTCAGAGGTCATGACATAGATCGGAAAATGACTTAAGTTAAATAACCACACTATAAACCACAAATAAGCACTCCCCATTGCTTATTACAGCATTTATATGTATATTTTATCTTATTCCCAGTAGGTCTT